TTGTTTTTATTCAGCTGAATGTACTCAATATTAAATTGACTCTTAATGACTAATTGCTGTACTCATAGAAGAATGCATCACCCAACCTTCACCAGAGAAGCTTATATTTTTAAGTAGATTGTTATTAGCACAGAAACAAAACTCTGACCAAGGTGTAGAAAATAAGAATGCTTAGACTTAAATAGAACATATATGTTACACACCTTTTTCTTAAGGCATAGGAATGTTTGTAAAAGAAAACGTGGAAATCTGTAATACACAGAGGCAGAGAATGAATGCAAGGAAACAGTATTTTCTAGACACAACACATCACTTACATATGTGAAATAAAAGCAATTGTGACAGCACACATAAACCCATGTAAGCAAGTTCAACCCAGACCAAATACCAGCATGGAAAGGGGAGAGGAATTCCTACCCCCAGAAGAGTGATGAGAAATTCATGGCTGATGGGAGAGTGTCAGTTTTAAGAGTGTTGCCACTGGTAGTCCAACCAAGCTCCAGAGGAAAGTGATGCTTCTGTGAATATATGGGCAACACAAATCATACCTCATGGGTAAAAGAAAAATAGTAGAACATAAAGTTGGATAGGTGGGTTAGTGAGAGACTGAATATTGTCAAAACCCTTTATACAAAATCTCAAATAATAAAAATATAATGAGTAAAATATTTTTTAAAAAATATAAACTACATATTATAAAATATTAATGATGTTTTCTTTGGGGGGAAAACATTTTGAAGGTCATGGATTTTTGGGGTATCCTAGTGTTGGGAATTTTGTTAAACATGTATGTGCAATTAAAAATAAAACGTAAAAGAAATGTAAATAATAAAAATTATGGATAAAGGGGATAATTTCATTTAAAAAATCTACAAATGTTGTGTGTTGAAAAAAAATTAATGAGCACCAAAAACTACATGGTCTTATATGCCAGTGCAGTATTTTTTGCAGAAATTCTGTAGCTACCAGAAGAAAAGGCAGAAACCCAGTTTGTGATTTTCACCTTGAAAAGCAAATTAGTCTCAGCAGCTTCCTACCATCTGTCTACCACACACGAAATTCTCCTAATTAAGGAAATATCTTTTCTTAAGGTAATGCTTTGTTAATTTATTTTCTTTTATAAAAACCTTAATTTTTAAAAATTAAAAAAATAAATTTCTGTTCCAAATAGAAAATGTTAAATATGTAGACAACTATAAAAAAGAAAACAAGAATATTTTATCCACCAAGGAAGGATAAAAACAGGAGAATTGTGGAGAATGAGAAGGAAAAAGAAGGAAAAGAGACCTTGCCCAGAGATTCAAGTCTCTCTCCAGCTGAGAAGCTCGAATTCCAGCACAATTCACATTGCCTATAGGTTTCAGACATGGAATTAGCACTCCTTTCTTATATTGGTATTTTACATTACAGTTACAAGTTAAAGCTCATATATGTAAGACTTTAGGTAGGGCCTCACCTCCTCCATCACAATATTGAAAATCACAAAGAAGATTATAACTTTTACTTAGTGTTCAGACATTTTATCTTTCTGCATCCTAGGGAATCTTCTCAATTGTAATCCTAGCAGGTACCCTTAAGGAACCACTTTGTGATCTCATTTGAGTGGCTTCTTTGTCTCTTGGTTTCTGGTGCCTTCTCTGGACCTGTGGATTGCCTGGTAGTTGGTGCGAGGTGTGAATCTCTGCTAGGAGTGGCCACTAGGGGTCTCTGGTAAAACTTGTTTCTACTGTTCAAGTTAACTAAGGAGTTAACTTATAGGCTAGAAGGGCTGGGTACTGAAAGGGGTCCACAGCAGCTAACTCTTTGGTCTACGATGTCGATCTGCCTGAAAAGTGTGCTAATGCAATAGTGTCACAAAGCAGCTAGGACCAACCAACCAGTATCTGATTGGAATTAAGGCTCACTCAGATGAAACCCTTAAGCAGACTCTACTCAGGTAGCCAAATGCCTGAGACTAGATAGGCCAGTGGCCTAGGCGAAAACCAAATACTACCATTTTACTAAAGGAACTTAGCAATAAAATAACTCCTGACAACATCACACTATACTCATAGATAATCTCAACCATCTTCAGAGACTCTTCTTGCAGCAGATGAGAGTAAATACAGAGACCCACACCTGGACAATGTGTAGAAAGTGAGAGACCTTGGAACACTCAGCCATGAATGGGATGTCTCCATTAAATTCTTCCCCTCAGGATTTGGGGGAATTCGGTGAAAGGGAGGGTGCAAAAAGAGTGTACGAGCCAGAGGGAATGAAGGACAACAAGGAATCAAGGCTTTCTTAGACACAACAGAGCTGGCACACATAAACTCATAGAGACTGTGGGAACACAAACAGGATCTGCACAAGAATGGGCCAGAATGGGTAACACTGCTGAGAGAAGAGGACACAAACTCCATTCTTATCCCAAAAGCTATCTCTGATTGATAACCCCTCACAAATTAAAAATTAACTTTCTCCAACACAGTCTCACAGGGCATACATAACACCATTAAGCCTAAGCTCCATGCCCAGCAGTAGATGACCAAAACACAATGAACTGAATGATATTTGTTGAGAATCTTACTCTGATAATGCCTTGTTATTTAACCTTACAGGTCCTTTGGTTTCTAGTCTTGTGTGTTTTTATGGGGGTTCTCTCTCCTTCTCTCACTCCTGTGTGTGTGTGTGTGTATGTGTATGTGTGTGTATGTGTATGTGTGTGTATTGTGAGTTTCTGCTTTGTCTTTTTTCTTCCATTTGTATTGCCTATTCTGCTTATTTTTAATCTTATTATTTTATTTTTTAAATTTAACTTTATCTAAATTTTATATGCCCATTTATATTCAAGTGTGTGTGAAAAAGCAAAGGTATAGATTTGGGTAGGAGGGGAAGTGGGGAAGATCTTCAAGGAGCTTGGGAAGGAAAGTCATAATCAGAATACACTATATGAAATAATACCTATTTTTAATAAAAATTTTAAACAAAAAATTAAAATTGCATTTTAAAAGATAATATAAAATATTAATCATAATATATGGATGATAAATTATTACATTATTTGTGCTGAAATCACTCATAAATAAATAAGAATATGAATACTTATTCATTGTTATAATCTTAAGAAATATATCAATAGAAGTCATACATTTAAAGTATCTTATTGAAATATGATGAACAATTGGACAAACTACCACCAATCCCAGCTACACAGCCTAATGATGCTCATAAAACCACTGTGTTTGTGTCTCTAGCAGCTGGGTCAAGGAGCAAAAAATTATTCTCACCATCATTATCTTCACACCATTACCATCACCACTACTACTGTCAACACCAGCATTAGCATCATTCCTCCCCACTATCTGAACTACTAATATAAAAATTGTACTTTTGCCTGCTTTTAATCACTATAGTCATTGGCCATTTGATGTGTCTTTGGGGGGAATAATTTCCTTTATTCTAGCCACATTATCATTGTTATGTATCTAGTGTATTTTAAATATGTATCATTCTGTATTTTAAATTTGTATACATAATTTAAATTCAATTTAAAAAAACATCAATGCTTGAGGTGATATGCAAGAAACAGAAAGCTGTTAATTTAGGGTTTATAATGAATTATCTATACCTTCAAGGATGCAAAAAGGGAAATGTAATCAACTTTAATTTGTGCTCTTTTGATCATTTGCTTTGGATTTTCATCATGAACTTTGCTTGCCTCTTTGAATTACACTGGAGAAGAGTTATTTTGAACTTTAAGCCCTTATTGCTAGTAGACTAAAGTCTTGAGAGTAATAGCAAAAGCACAACCTGCATCATGATGTTTTAGGGTTGAAGAAAAATTAATAGTGAAGTTGATCCTTTCTCCTTCTGTAATGGGTGGCTCAACCTAAGTAATTAACTTAGTAATAAACAACTAGTTGGTAGTAAAAGCCTTGTAGAGTATTGTCACTCTTATGCCTTGATACATCCAGTTTAGTAGGTTGGAGAATGTTTGCCATAATAATTACATTTGCCAGAACCTCCACACCACACCTTGTGTTTAATATAATGGTTAGCTTTATTTTACTCCATTAAGAAGGGCTTAGGTCCAGCTGTAAATTAAACTTTATAAGACAATGCAACAGGTTTCATATCATTCTACCTCCATTTTACAACTTTTGACATCAAAATTTTGGAATGAAAAGTCTGGTATTGTGGAGTGAGCCTCAATTTAAATCAGATATTGGCTGGTCACTCCCTCAAGTTCTGTGCCACCACTGCTCCAAGATATCTTGCTGGCAGGACAGATTATAAGTGGAAGGTTTTGTGACTGGGTTTGTGTCCAAGTTTCTATTTCCATACCCTGAAGAGTTCCTTCTTGTGACAAAAGAGACCAGAATATAGGGGAGAAGGCTCCAAGCACATGCCAGCTCAACCTCTCTACATTCAATGAGCTGAGTGGAAGTTGTCCTCAGCTCTCAGATTTCTAATGATATTCCATAGTTATCACCAGAGAGACTTTCTCCAGCATAGGATGGGAGCAGGAACAGAGACCCACAGTCAGTCACCACACAGACACAGACACACACACAAACACACACACACACACACACAGAGAGAGAGAGGGGGGGGAGAGATAGAGACATTAAATTGGAGGTTCTTATTGGGTCCCTTCCCTAAGAGATTATGGAACCATGCATAAGAGGGAGATGAAAGACTGTAGAAGCTGGAGGGGATGGAGAATATCAGGAGAGCATGGCCCACTGGATCAACTGAGCAGAAGGAGAGAAGGGAGGAGAACCTGTGGTTAGAATGTATTTTATGACACAAGAATCTATTTTCAATTAAAAGAAATTAAGAAAAGGAAACATTGGGTATTTTAATTCTTTCTGTAGGATATTTCTTTTCTGAATAGTTGCAATAGTCAGGGTTCCATAGAAGAAAAAATAAATTATAGAATATATAGTTAAAGGAGATTTGTTAGAGTGCTTACAGCCTGTGATTCAGCTAATCCAACAATGGTTGTCTGCCAACAGAAAGTCCAAGAATCCAGTGACTGTTCATTCCAGGAGCCTGGTTGTTTCGGCTGGACTTCAATAAATGCTGGAATCCTGAATAAGTAGGCACTAACGCCAATGAAGGAATTAACTTGCTAGTAAGAGCAGGTAGGCAAAGAGCAAAGCTTTCTTTTTCCATGTTTATTCTATAGTCTGCCACCAGAAGGTAATGCCCAGATTAAAGGTGGGATCTTCCCACCTCAAAGATCCAGATTAGAAGTGGGTCTCCTCAACTCAATTGATTTAATTAAGAAAAACTCTCACAGATGTACCTACTGATTTAGGCTTTAGTTACTCCAGATGTAGTCAAACTGACAACCAAGAATGGCCATCACAATAAGGTTGAAATATTGTTATGGTTGGAAGATAGCCCCAAATGATACTTTTACTCTGTACTACTATTTCTGGCATAGGAGTCAACTACCTGCAGAGAGATGCTGCCGTGTCTTACATGGGTGTCAGGAATCCAACTTTTATCTAAGGCTTATATTCAACATTACTTTCAGGCAAGGTCCAACATGTACAAATAACTAAGCAGAAAATGTACCAAAATTGAATTTGGGGAAAAGAAAATTTAGAAAGGAGTAAAAAGGTATATAAATAAGAGAAATGAGTAGTTCAAGGATTTCTGAGATATTCTTTCTTAAGACAGGAGTCTCAAAGGGTCTATTCTGCTACTTCTAGAAGGAAGGGTCTAAGCCAGTCCAGACACCCTTGTGAAGACCTCTGTGGTAAAGTTTAAAAAGATACACGCTTTGCACTCCCTAGTCCTGAATGGTATGGTAGCCAGGTAAGTTAGTTCAGGCAAACTAATGTTTCTTTATGTAAATAGACATGAATATGCAAGATAGCTTCTATAGGTTTTATTTTGAAAACAGGGTCTTACTTTATAACCAAGCTGACCTTAAATTCCTTATATAGTTCAGGATGGCCTTGAAATGAGGATCTTTCCATTTAAGACTTCCAAATACACTTGTTCACAGCCATGCCTGGCAGCCTCCTCCTTGATAGGTGTTACAATATAAGTGAAAAAAATCGGTTATGACTGTCATGCAAAAACAAAAACTTCAAATGTATTAATTCTTGAGGAAACAGGATTCTAAAATTAATTCAATGCTGATTTTATTTTTTTAATATTTAACTTTTTACACATGTTACTCTCAGCTCCCTCTCCCTCCCCTCTTCACTCCCCAAGGAAGGTAAGGCCTTGCATGGGGGATTTTCAAAGTCTGTCATATCATCCCAGGCAGGGCCTAGGCCCTCCCCCACGTGTCCAGGCTGAGAGAGCAGCCCTCCATGTGGAACTCACTGAGATCAGCCTGCCTCTACCTGCAGAGTGCTAGGATCAAAGGTGTGTGCCGCCACTGCCCAGCTAAGATTGGCACTTTTAGAAAGTATTTAAGTACAAATGTGAGCACAGGCATGCTGGCATAATCCTGTAATCCCAGCACCTGGTAGATGGAGGCAGAAGGAAAAAGAATTCAATATTACCCAGCGTCTGCTGCTTATGACCCTGTTTCAAAACACATAGAAAAGAAAAGAAAGGAAGGAGGGTGAGAAAGTAAGGGGAAAAGGGAAGAATGAAATGAAGGAAGGAATAAAAGGAAAGGGAAGGGAAGGGAGAAAGGAAAACCCAAACAAACAAACAAAAATACCAAATGTGGTATACTTGTGGAAGGACTTGCAGAAATGACTTAGTGAAATTTAGATGGGGGCTGATTGTCCTGCATCAATAGCACTTAAAACTACTGAAGTATGTGACCCTTCCTGTAAGCCTAAGGGTATCCATGTTATACAACTATTTATCAGATAGCATTAGTATCTATAGTACTATCAGGGTCCATTTATTACATAATTCAATTGGTACTTAAAATTATTATGTAGTCATTTCCTACTCTATTATCAGAGCAGGTGAGCTCCTGGACTGTCACTGTTGCTGTAGGCAGTTCTTGGCCCTCTAGGTGAAATGGAGATAAAGTCTGGCTCCTCTAACGCATATCAAATAGTCTGTTGGAAACATCACCACAACTGTGTTGCGATCTACTCTCTCTAGAACACAACTAATACATCTACCAAAAGAAGAGGGACATTTTGAATATACAACAGCAACATCTTAACCAGTGATCAAAACCCCTATAGACATACTCCAGTGTAAATAGAAACAAGTAATATGAAAACCTAGACAGTTTGTTTCTTCCCTAAATCACTAAAGCCCCAGTAATGTCCCAAAATCAAAATTATTTAGATAAAATTTCAGATGCAGAATTAAAAAGAATGATTGTGAACATGGTAAAATAACTCAGAGAAGATTCAAATATTTCCAAAGAGAATACAGAGAGGTATGAAAAAATGAGAAAGTAGAATTTAATAAAGAGATAGTAATACTGAAAGAAAGCCGAACCAAACTGATGATAGGAATGAAAAATAAAATAGGGTCAAATAAAAGATTCAGTGAAATACCACATCAGTAGAACAGAACATGTGAAAGATTGACTATCCGAGTATGATGGAAAGAAGAGGAGTTGGATCATTCAATCAAGGTCAAACTTTTTAAAACTTTTTTAAAAATAAAATTAGAAAGAAGCTTGCTTCACATGTCAATCCCAGCTCCCTCTCCCGTCTTCCCTTGGTCAGCCACTCCAGGCCCCCCTCAATCCCCATTCCATCCCCAGGGAGAGTTAGGCCCTCCGTGGAGGATCTCCATAGTCTGTCATTTCATCTAGGGCAGGGCCTAGGCCCTTCCCCAAGGCTGAGAGAGCAGCCCTCATTGTGGGATGGGCACCCAAAGTCCATATGTATGCCAGGGAAAAATACTGATCTACTACCGGAGACCCCATAGATTGCCTAGGCCTCCTCACTGACACCCACATTCAGGAGTTCAGGATCAATCCCTTGCTGGCCTCTCAGGCATCAGTCTGGGGTCCAAGAGCTCCCCCTTGTTTAGGTCAGCTGTTTCTGTGGGTTTCACCAGCCCAGTCTTGACCCCATTGCTCATCACTCCTGGCTCTCTGTCACTGGATTCAAGGAGTTCAGCTCAGTATTTAACTGTGGGTGTCTGCCTCTGCTTCCATCAGTCACTAGATGAAGGTTCTAGGATGGCATATAAGGTAGTCTTCAAACGTATTATCAGGGAGGGGCATTTAAGATAGTCTCACCACTACTGCTTAGTTGGCCAGTTGGTGTCATCCTTGTAGATTTCTGAAAATTTCAATAGTGTCAGATCTTTCCTCAAACCTATAATGATTCCCTCTATTATGGTGTCTCTTATCCTGCTCTCCTCTATTCACCCAGCTCAACCTTCCTGGCTCTCTATGTCCTCCTCTCCCTTCTTATTCTCCCCTGGCTCCCTCTCTCCCCATGCTCCCAATCTGCTCAGGAGATCTTACCTCATTTCCCTTCTCTGGAGTACCATGCATATCTCTCCTAAGGTCCTTTCTTTTTCCCAGACTCTCTGGCAATGGGATTGTAGGCTGGCACTCCACCGATCCATATCTAAAATCCATATATGAGTGAGTGCCTACCATGTTTGTCTTTTTGTGACTGGTTTACCTCACTCACAGTGGCTACTTCTAGTTTCATCCATTTGCCTGTGAATTTCAAGATTCCATTGTTTTATTCTGCTGAGTAGTACTCCATTGTGTAAATGTACATTTTCTCTATCCACTCTTCAGTTGAGGGGCATCTAGGTTGCTTCCAGGTTCTGACTATTATAAATAATGCTGCTTGTCCTTGTATGAATGTGCATCTTTTGGGTATATGCCTAAGAGTAGAATTGTTGGAAATTGTGCTAGACTGATTCCCATTTTCCTGAGGAACTGCCCTATTGATTTCCAAAGTGGCTGTACAACAAGTTTGCACTCCCACCAGAAGTGGAGGAGTATTCGCCTTTGTCCACCTCCTCTCCAGTATAAACTGTCATTGGTGTTTTGATTTTAGCCATTATGACAGGAGCAAAATGGTGTCTCAGAGTTGTTTTGATTTGCATTTCCCTATTGGCTAAGGTTAAGGGTCTCTCAGTAATTTTAGATTCCTCAATTGATAATTTTCTATTTAGTTCTGTAGCCCACTTTTTAATTTAAGTTAGAAACGAGCTTGGCCCACTTTTTAATTGAATATTTTGGTGTTTTGGAGACTTGCTTCTTCAGTTCTTTGTAAATTTTGGAGATCAGCCCTCTGTCAGATGTGGGATAAGTGAATATCTTCTTCAATTCTGTGGGCTGCTTTTTTGTCTTGTTGACTGTGTCCTTTGCCTTACAGAAGCTTCTCTGTTTCAGGAGGTCCCATTTCTTAATTGTCAATCTCAGTGTCTGTGCTACTAGTGTCATGTTCAGGAAGGATTGTCTTGTACCAATTCCTTCAAGGGTCCCTCCCACTTTCTCTTCTAAGAGGTTCAGCGTGGCAGGATTTATGTTGAGGTCTGTGATCCATTTGGGCTTTAGTTTTGTGCATCTCGATAGACATGGATCTATATGTAGTCTTCTACATTCCAGCATCTAGTTACTCCAGCACCATTTGTTGAAGATGGATAATTTTAGCTTCTTTGTCAAAGATCAGGTGTTTGTACTTGTATGGGTTAATATCGGGGTGTTCAATGTGATTTCATTGGAGTACCTGTCAATTTTTGTATCAATACCAAGCTGTTTTCAGGACTATAACTCTATGATAGAGCTTGAAGTCCGGGATGGTGATGCCTTCGGATGTTGCCTTGTTAAGCAGCGATGTCTTGGCTATCGTGGGTTTTTTTTGTTTTTCCATATAAAGTTGAGAATTGTTCTTTCAAGGTCTGTGAAGAGCTGTGCTGCTGGGATTTCAATGGGGATTGCATTGAATCTGTAGATTGCTTATGGCATGATTGCCATTTTTACTATGTTGATCCTCCCTATCCAAGAACATGGGAGGTCTTTCTTCAAATACTCAATGTTTTTGCTTTATAGGTCTTTCACTTGTTTAGTTAGCATTATCCCCAAGGTATTTTATGTTGTTTGTGGTAATTGTAAAGGGTGATGTTTCTCTGATTTATTTCTCAGCCCTTTTATCATCTTATATAGTAGGGCTACTGATTTTTTAATTGACCTTGTATCCTGCCACTTTACTAAATGTATTTATCA